TATTGTCCGATTGACGTTTGATGGTGTTGATAGATAGATATGTAGTTGTTTATTGAGCGTGGCTAGCTCCGCTAGCTTCTCTACACAGACAAGTGTGTAGTGACAAGCGCTGATAGCTTGTTGTACTCGCAGAGTAATGGCAGTATTTTACACATATGTATCAGATCGCAAATAAAACTTGGTGGCTCCGTGGGATGAGAGCGTAGGGGAAATGAGAAGCCATTGAGCGAGTTGGGGGGCGGTGCTAAACATTCAAACATTGCAGAAACGGGTATAGCGCCTTTAAAGGAATAGTTCACCGTTTTTACATACTGACATATGTTCTTACCTTACCTTAGACTAGTTAATACGTACCTGTCTGGTCTTAGTCCGTGCGCTCTGTCATGCAAACGGAGAAAAAACGGGAGCACAAACGCAGCCTCCTCTGTATACTGTATAGTACCCAAAAGGTAGCTCCCGCTAGAAGCTACCAAACTCTTCCAAGTGTTCCCTATTAAATGTATATAGTTACGTGACGTGTTACACTGCAAAGTATAGTAACACAGAAATGTAACAGTCGATTTTCTCAGCGGATAAAACGGGTACTATATTGTGAGGCGTAGTAATCTGAGGAGCGCTACGTCCGCGCACTAACTTCTCTCCGTACTACAAGTCACGCTGCTTCTATTGACGGAAGTGAGTGAGAGAGAAGTCTCCGGAGAGAAGTTAGTGCGCGGAGTCGCGGACGTAGCGCTCCTCAGATTACTACGCCTCACAATATAGTACCCGTTTTATCCGCTGAGAAAATCGACTGTTACATTTCTGTGTTACTATACTTTGCAGTGTAACACGTCACGTAACTATATACATTTAATAGGGAACACTTGGAAGAGTTTGGTAGCTTCTAGCGGGAGCTACCTTTTGGTCCTACACAGTATACAGAGGAGGCTGTGTTTGTGCTCCCGTTTTTGCTCCGTTTGCATGACAGAGCGCACGGACTAAGACCAGACAGGTACGTATTAACTAGTCTAAGGTAAGGTAAGAACATATGTCAGTATGTAAAAACGGTGAACTATTCCTTTAAGGTAAACGTGGAAAGGGAAGCCACGACGAGAAGCAAGCAAGATGCAATTTTATTAATAAAATCATAAAAAAAGAACAAAAAGAGTTTTGCGACTACTTTTACTGCACACTTGTTCAGTAAGATGCCCTTTACCACTGTGTAAAATATAATTCACTTTTACTGTAGAAATTAAGAGATAATTGGGGTCAAAGCGTGTACAATTGGTCCCAAAAGCACTTTTTAAAATTTATTTAAAACAAATCTAAAAGCGTTCCCAGACTACTTTCACTGCACTCTTGTTCACTAAGATGCCCTCTATCACTGTGTAAAATATCATTCACTTTTACTGTAGAACTTCAGAGATAATGGGGGTCAAAATGTGCCATTTTGGTCCCAAAAGCACTTTTTTAAAGTAATTTTAAAATTAATTTTTAAAAGTGCTTTTGGGACCAATTGTGCACACTTTGACCCCAATTTGGCTTTGTTTTTCTATAGTCTCTTTGAGTTTTGTAGGAACATGTATTATAAGAATAATAATAAGAAGATTAAAAGCCGCAAGCGGCGTCGAACGGGCCTTGCCACTCTGCGCGACTCCCCGCAGCGTGCGAGTTGCGGGGTACAAATCAGACTTTATACATGTGCTCCTGTTTACACATACAATCTGTGAGTGTGTCCATATATATACAGTCTCCATTGGATGACCATGTGACGCACCATCTTCCTAAAGCCCTGTTGGGAGCAATTTTGTGTATTTTGAATGTCTATGATCAATGATTGTGTGTCTCTATTGAAAAACTAAACCTCATTCTCCCCATGTAACACTGGACTCAGTCTGTAGGGGGCGCTCTCAAGTTTTACACCTTCAGTTCACCCAAACTCAAGAGTTGAACTATCAAATCAAATGTTGAGCAAATCAGACTTTGCATGTGCAAACGGCGGTCATTTACTTTGCATAATAGCGCCCCCTACAATTTATTATTTTTTTTGTCTTATAGTATACCAAAGATATCAAATTAATCATTTGTTGCCAGAAATTTTATATTATGTACAATAAAATGGCAAATTAAAAAGTGGCTATCAAGAAACAGTGTCAATAGTATTGTACAGTCTGACAGCGGTGGGGATAAAGGACTTGCGGTAGCGCTCCTTCTTGCACTGAGGGTGCCTCAGTCTTCGGCCCAGTCCTACTCGCACTTCCACCCTCGCGCCCCTCATTCGCGCGTTCCCGATGATGGGTGCGAGTGCGTAGCTACCCTATAGGGTGTCCCAATCCTCCAGGGAGGTCTTTGGTCCTGCCCCTGATCCACACTTCGCCGTAGCCTGCATCTAAGCGGACTCTGGCGAAGGATATTGCCCACAATTCTTTGCGGTACACACCAAAACGTCGGGAAAATGCATTTAAGTGTACGTTTAGAAATATATATGCTGTACGTGTGTAAATAAGTTTTGCTATGTTACTTGGAAAGAAGCATAAATGTCTGATGAAGAATTACTTTTACTTTTGAAAGCAAGCATTCATATAACATTCCATTTAAACTTTACACTTACACAGTACAATAAACTTAGGATGTATAAAAACTGACCGTATAACAGTTAGTTACCCACATTTAACTTAAAATTATACAGCTATTTTAAATTACAAATAACCAATATACATGTATTGTATTGCGACTTTGGCCCTTCTTGTACAGGGCGTTGGTTTTGTGGGACCAGTCCAGTTTATTGTTAACGTGAACACCCAGGTACGTGAAGCTGTCCACTTTGTGACGCTCTGTGACATGCGCTATATAAAGATTGCTAACTTACTCATATTGATACAACATAAAACTAAGAAAATTGTAGTGGTTTATATTTGGACTAAAACTATCAACTACGAACAAAACAAAATAAATGTTTAGTTATTCAAGGTTGTCGGCCCGATTACATCGTTTGGATTAGATTATATTGGTGAGACCTGAACTATAGGATGTTCCAAGACGACCCTCTGTTTTTGTAGAGGTCAATACAATGACACATTACGATGCAATTATGTTAAAGCTGAGCTGATCTTTATCACTTGATGTTTTGGTCTGATCTAACATGTCGCAGATACTAAGATCGATTCCTCTGGTATAGATCACATGCACGCAGCAGATCGTTGGTCGTGCCTTATTATCAACAATAAAGTGTCTTCCCAGATACACTATTGATCCTGACTTAGGACAAATGCAGGTGTCCAGCAGCAGAAACACATCCATCCATACAAACAAATGAATGCATCATTCTAAAAGTTACTAACAATAGTAGTCACCACCAGGTTCTTTACCCGGTGGTGACTCTCAAAGGCCTCACTCAGCAGATTTAGTTTGTTGTATATGTATTACATGTGAGTTATAACCATACATTTGACTTCTGTTATCAAACCGATATACTAAACCAAATTAGTATGCAACTTCTTGTTTTCATTCAGCCTTCTCAAACAATCTCTCTTTCTCTAAAACCTCTCTGCTGCTTACTATCCTGTTTTCAGCACTGCCTCCAACTATTCTGTTTTATCCAAAGCCATCAAAAACCACAGATAGACTGAGATATTTGGTTGGACCAATCAGCGGAGAGGAACAGCGCAGCTCATTTACATGCAGTGTGTATAAAGCTGCGGATAGGCCTCAACGGCTTCAGCTGTCAGCTGTATCTACACAGTCACACATCATGCCTGATGCCAAACCCGCGCCCAAGAAGGGCTCCAAGAAAGCCGTCACCAAGACCGCCGGCAAAGGCGGCAAGAAGAGGAGAAAGAGCAGGAAGGAGAGCTACGCCATCTACGTGTACAAGGTGCTTAAGCAGGTGCACCCCGACACCGGCATCTCTTCCAAGGCCATGAGCATCATGAACTCTTTCGTCAACGACATTTTCGAGCGCATCGGCGGAGAGGCCTCCCGCCTGGCACACTACAACAAGCGCTCCACCATCACCTCCAGGGAGATTCAGACTGCAGTGCGTCTGCTGCTGCCCGGAGAGCTGGCCAAGCACGCCGTGTCTGAAGGCACAAAGGCTGTGACCAAGTACACTAGCTCCAAGTAAACGAAGCAGTTTTCAAAGCAACACAACGGCCCTTTTCAGGGCCACCCACATCTGACAAAGATTCACTTCTATCACATGATGTTCACTCGTTTTGTATCAACCGCCAAAAGCAAGAATTATTGGTAGTTTCTATTTTGCACTTTATTTTTTTCCTCGAGCAGTAATTACACATTGTTGTATTTACATACTGGAATGTCTACATTATATTGCCTTTTATGCTAACAGTATACTACACTACAGTGCACAGTATATAGTGTACGGTACACTAACATGCACAAATGTCATCAATAAACAATCAAGCGGTATTTGTCATAGTTTCCACCTCTGTATTTATGCATGTATTTCTATTACTGTTTCTCAGCTTTAAGTGGAGTAGGAAAATACTAAAACATATGTTTAGACTCCCCCATGAACAGAATTTGTATGTATCCATGAATTTATTTGAACAAAACTTTCCACAAAGAAAAACATCTTTTAGGCCTCAGCTCTTTACATTAGAGTCCAGACAGACTTGAGAAATGTATTCATTTGAATTAAACAGGATAAGATTTTAAAAGATTATATATATATATATATATATATATATATATATAAAGCTACTATTTAGCTTAGTAGCCAAACGCACATTTAGTCTTTAAAGAAAGTCTTTAAGTAAGACTTATCCACAACCTACTGTTTGACACCTCTTTGAAACATCTACATATAAAAAGGATTAAGTTATAGTGTTCATTAGTTTTGGCTCGTGAATAACAATGAGTCATTCTCAGTCAGTTGGATGAACACCCATCCCCCACGTTTCCCACAGTCTTCAACTACGTCCGCAGATGCTGCATAAACCCTAGTGGAGCAAGACACATCCTCACACGTTCTCTGTGGTTCTCAACAGCGATCTGTAATTATGAGCGGCAGAGGAAAAGGAGGTAAAGGACTCGGGAAAGGAGGGCCAAGCGTCACCGTAAAGTCCTCCGAGACAAATCCAGGGTATCACCAAGCCTGCCATCCGTCGTTTGGCACGCCGTGGCGGTGTGTGAAGCGTATCTCAGGTCTGATCTACGAGGAGGCCCGCGGGGTGTTGAAGGTTTTCTTGGAGAACGTGATCCGTGACGCCGTCACCTACACCGAGCACGCAAAGAGGAAGACCGTGACTGCCATGGACGTGGTGTATGCGCTGAAGAGACAGGGCCGCACCCTGTACGGCTTCGGAGGTTAAACACGGGACTGTAGTGAACACAAACGGCTCTTTTAAGAGCCACCCACTCTAACAAAGAGACTTTACTTCTGTCTTGCCCAACATCAATGTCCGTCAGCAAGATCTTCTGTTTTAATGTAGTAATCTATTTCTCTGCATTTTCCAAAAAGACTTGCAGTGCCTTTGTACGGATTTGTCGGATGTTTACCGACATCAAACCATTTCTTTCTACACTGGATCCAACCTCAGCATGTTTCCTGTACAGTAGTGTGTTGACCAGTTATTACATGTAATGCAGAGCTATGTGCCCCGCTGTTGTCGCTAAATGTTCTCAAAGTGCTAATCTCAATCACTGAAACATTTTTCAGTCCACCACATCAAACAAAATGTGCTCATAATTGCATAGATATCGGTCCGTGTACTTTTGCGTTCAATACATTTTCAATATTTAAAGGGAAATGGAAAATCGAATAAAGGCTATTTTGCATTTTCAGGCACACGTACAAAAATGACTTGTTTTTTTTATTGCTTATAAGACATAATATGTTATAATAACCGGATTTGGGAACTAGAAAATCCAATAATAAACCTTTTTTAATGTGTGTTTTACATTTCGGCGTTCAATTGATTACCCGAAGTGAAACAAGTTTGTTTATCTTCAGCCCTGATTCGCTTCTAATTATAGTATAATATAATACGCAAATGACCTCCCGGTATTTGTCCAAACACAGACGTCCTGCGAGTAATTACTAAATTCCCGTGAGAATCTCCATGTCGTGATTGTGATCGCTATCGCCGCTTTCGGCTTTACTTTCTGTGTTGATTCTGTTCCGATGAGAGAAGGGAGTCGCGGATTGCGGCTGTTGAACATCTGCTAGAGTCGCTGGCCTGCTGCTGTCTCTGTCAGGTCTATGGAGAAGTGTACGAGGACAGTGTAATGTGGTTCACAGGACACTAAATGATCAGTACCTGTGATGGGTTGTGTTTGTGCGTTTACTTTGCACTCTGAACGGGTACAGACGTGTTGCTGCGAGCCGTTACTAGTTGTTGGCTCCCACTTATCTTAGCAGAGTAAGTGGTGCGTTCACGAGTAGTCCGTACAAACTATTACTAAACATTACAGACAGTATGGGCCAGAGAGCGGTAGAATCTGGCTGCTGTGGTCAGACGCCAGACTATTTTGAAACTGCGTGATGCGGGGAGACCCGCGCATGTGCGGCCGTTATGAGAGATTGTCAGTGAAAATAGACCGTCCTTCGTGATGATATCACACATATATCAGGGGTCCACAGGTAATACTAATCCCGGGCGAGTAAACAAACTTGTTTCACTTCCGGGTAATCGATTGACGCCGAAATGTATTAAATACATAATAAAAAAAGGTTAATTATTGCCATATCTCGTCCTCAAATCCCGTTATAAAACTATAATATGTCTTATAGGCAATGAAAAAAAAATGGTCATTTTTTGTATATTGCATTTCCCTTCAAAAATAGAAAAAGTATTAAACGCAAAAGTACACGGACCAATATCCCTCAAGCAAGTTTATTAGTATTGCACAGGCACTCAAAGTGTAAAACAAGATGGAAAGACTACGAGCCATTAGTGGGCTCTCCTAATTACAGTACTCTTAAACTCTTAATGTAAAAGAACAGTTATTAACATCAACGGATGTCTCACATTGTCAGAAAGACTGTTCCAGTAGCTGCATAGAATGAAATGCTGCCCTGACATATTTTTGTATTCCAATTTCTTTTCTACTGTATTATTGGAAATGAAGCTGCCCAATATTGTGTATATGTTCACGCGTTGTGAAATTTATAGGGGGTTTTTTTGTGCAGCCTCACGATCCAAAATGCCCTCGGACTTACTGTGGTTGAGGATGGCCCCAGAGGATCTTTCATCGAGATTTAATATACACGTGAGTTCACTGAGTTCTGACTGTGTTTGGATGAAGACTGTAACGTCATCTGCATATTTTTGCTAAATGTTGTTTTTGTAATGTTGTGGGGCGTGAGTTCGATTCCTTTGATGGGACTGGATTTGATCAAAGTGAGTCATGGGTTTATTGCTAAAACATTAGAGTGCAGCACTGAGCGGGCAGCCCTGCTTCACTCCGCGGTGAATGTTTAAAAGGTTCAGTTAAAACCCCGTTTACATTTATTTAGCACACTGGTTTTAAAATATAGACATTTAATCATGTTATTAAAATCTGTGGGGAAGCCATATTTGGACAGGACAGCCCACAAATAGTCCCGAGATACAAAATCAAAAGCTTTCTTTTGGTCCAGAACCAACAATATAAAAGTTCTGTTCCTCTTTATCTTTATACAGTAGTTCACGCAGCGCACACACACATTATCCCACATGAGACGGCCTCTGATGGCACACACACGTCTGCTGTTTCATTAGCGGTTCATTAGTATTTTTGCTAAGATTTTGTAGTCTGTATTCATCAGAGTGAGATGTCTGTAATTATTGATGTCTTCTTTCTCACCCTTTTTATACAGGAGACACATCACTCCCTGGTAGAAGGACTCTCCCATCTGACCTTTCTTTAAACCTTCATTAAAATACGCAGTTAATAAAGCTTCCAGAACCCTTTATGTTCGACTGGACCAAAGCAGACATTAGAACAAACAATAAGGTGATCAGAGAAATCAGTCAGAATGGTTTTATATTTATTTCCACACTTTGCCGCAGCCTGCATCTATGCGCGCACTTCTGGCGAAGGATATTGCCCATAATTCTTTGCGGTATACACCAAAACGTCGGGAAAATGCATTTAAATATAAAATTTGAAATATATATGCAGTATGTGTGTAAATAAGTTTTGCTATGTTACTTGGAAAGAAGCATAAACGTTTGATGAAGAATTACGGACATTGTGTTTTAACAATTTAATAACTTTTTAAAGCAAACGTTTATATAACATTCAATTTAAACTTTACACTTAGTACAATAATCTTAGAATGTATAAACACTGACCAATTCCGCCTTTAGTTAGTTACCCACATTTAACTTAAATTTATACATGTGGGTATTGGGACTGGGCCTTGGTTTATATGGCACGAAAATGTCCCGGATGTAGTTTTGTGCGAGGCCATGAAGAGGCTGAGACCTGAGAACTGGATAATGTGATCATACTTCCTGGTTCTCATCAGGACTCGAGCTGCAGCGTTTTTCTTTCTGAAAATGCTCTGGAAAACTGCATGTCATAATTGTCTAATTTTTCATAAAGGTCTTCAAAGATGTCTTTAAGATGACTTCCTCACATGAATAGGGTATTTACAATTGCTTTGGAAGCTACTTTGATGAACAACTGTTGATTAGAACATAATAATAAATATGTATTCACGTAAAGTAGATTAACAAAAAAGCAAGTATACCAAAAACATACACAAAAGGAAATTCAATGACTTCTGTTGTAACAGCTTATTATAATTGCATCAAACGTCTCATAATTGCAATGTCCAATGGAATTAAGCTCAAATAAGAGGCAAGACATTTTTATTGGGTCATTTTCAAACACACAAACAACACCTCAAGGCACACTGACAGACATGTACAGTAATATTGCTCCGTTTTAGAGCCGTTGTGCTGAAATAGAACGTTCACATGGGACTACAGGTTCTGTTCTGTTCGAATGAATCCAACTGCTGCAGACCAATGTTAAAACAACCAGAACATTGACGGTACACTTCTGACGTCTGCAGACTGCTGTAATGCATTCAGTCTAATATTGACCATTCTAAACAGTTATAATAGAAGTGTTCTACTAACTTATAGTAAATGTATTTATGTAGAAACTACACCTGACTTTGGTTGTTCTACCGGTTTATTCCAATGAGCTCAGTTCAACAAATAAAGTTTCTTCTGTCAGTCAAAACAGAAGTGCTAAGTGTAAACGAACTAATGAACGGTTGAATGTTAATGTTAGAGCAAAGTAATCAGCATTATACAAAATATCTCTCCAAACAAAGGGGAACATATGAATAGTGTTGCGTGGTTCAAACCCGCTGCTGCTGGTGTGTTACTACCGCCAACATATTCGTCAAATAAAACTAAACGCTGCACTCAAAGCGAACGTTTAAAGACTCGAAATAAAACTGTGACGTGTCCTCTCATTATGGAAATGCCCAATATCTGTCATTAAAGAATAATCAAGACGTTTTTAACGCTAAATGTAGGAAAAAGTCCTCGCCCTGAGTTGGATCATCACAGACACCCACGTGGTTTTGGGCATTAGACTCCGTTACAGATGTTTTAACTGAGAAAAAGACAGTTTCTCCTCAAAGCAGAGCTTCTTACGCACACGAGGATGTATAACATGATTGTGACACGTCTTTTATTTGTTTATATCTTAACTCTAAAGTGCGAAGAGAAAACACAGAGCGGAGCCAGCGACACTGAGCAGAGAGGGTTGAGTCTATACGGTTCTCATGGCCCTTATAAACCTCCTCCTCGCGCCTCCGTCTCCACTAGACTCAGATCTAAACCTAAACACGAACCATGGCAGAGACCGCACCCGCAGCACCCGCTCCGACTAAAGCCAAGGCCCCCAAGAAGAAGGCCGCAGCCAAGAAGAGCGATGGCCCCAACCTGGGAGCCCTCATCAAGGCCGCCATCGCAGAGTCCAAGGAGCGCAAAGGCGTTTCGGTGGCCGCCGTGAAGAAGGCGCTGGCGGCGAAGGGCGTCGATGTGGTCAAGGCCAACAAGCGCATCAACAACACCCTGAAGAGGATGGTGCTCAACGGCGTAGTGAGCCAGACCAAAGGCACCGGGGCCTCCGGCTCCTTCAAACTGGCCGCAAAGGAAGCCAAGCCTAAGACCTCGAAGAAGGCCCCCGCCAAAGCTAAGAAGCCCGCAGCAAAGAAAGCGACCACCCCCAAGAAGAAGGTGGTGAAGAAGGCCAAGTCCCCTGCCAAGAAAGCAGCCAAGAAGCCCGCAGCAAAGAGCCCCAAGAAGGCGGCTAAGAAGCCTGCAGCAAAGAGCCCAAGAAGGTGGCTAAGAAACCCGCC